CCTCACCAGCTCGACGATGATGGCACGTCTCAGAAGAGATCGCGCTCGAACAATGGGTCTCCAGCACCCCCAACACCTCCCCCGAAAGTCGATATGGCGAAGGCGATTGCAGAAGCCAAGGCAAAAGCAGAAGCTGTTCGTGCTAGACTGAACGCTCAGGGGACGGGAGGAGCTGCCTCAATACCTGCCGCGGGTCCTTCGGCACAACAATCTGGAGGATCATCGCCGGCTATGTCTAGGCTTGAACAAATGAAGGCAAGGGTTGCGGCAGCTACTGGGAAGATAAATATTTCTGCGACTAAACCACCACAACCTGCACCCAGTTTTGCTCCCACTCCTCCTCCTCCGGCTAATGACGATAGTATGATGAGGGCAAGAGGGGGTCTGGATGTCGGTTTGCATCCTGCACTCCTTGGAGACAGCGGGCAAGATAACCGAACCACAAAAGGGAAACAAGCCATGCAGCCGAAATTTGCAACAACTATGGCGAACTTTCGATCCGAGTCCTTTACTCCGCCTAGTCGAGGGAAAACGCCTCTTGATTTATCCGGCCCATCCATAGAAGAAACTAGGAATAACCCATATTTCGATCCCAGTTTCGGCTCCAGGTCTGTAGCTGCACGACCCCGTCACACGCGCCAGCTTATCTTTAATCAAAAGGGGAAATATATTCAACAAGCCGCGGCGCTGAGAAGGCAAGCTCAGCTCGAAGCTATGAAAAAACGGATTGCAGAGCGAGCTCGACAGGCCGGTATAGATGAAGACCTTGATGTTGAAAAATCCTACCTTGTGGCTGCACCTCCGGCAATTGAATGGTGGGATGAAGGGCTGGTGAATGGAACAGATTATATTGCAACCGATGATCCCAGTAACCTGAAGATTGATACCCCAGATTCTGTTATTACGATATATATACAACATCCAGTCCTTCTCGAACCTCCGCAAGACAAGAATATACCTGCTCCGAAACCCATGTATCTGACCCCCAAGGAACAAGCAAAGATTCGTCGACAACGACGTATGGCGGATCTTAAGGAACAACAAGCTAAGATCCGTCTTGGATTGGAGCCTGTACCCGCTCCGAAAGTCAAAAAGTCAAACCTTATGAGAGTACTGGGTGAGGATGCAGTTAAGGATCCTACTGCTGTTGAGGCCAGAGTCAACCGTGAAATTGCTGAGCGCGCGCAAAAACACCAGGACGCCAACGAAGCTCGAAAACTCACAAAGGAGCAACGGCACGAGAAATTGGCGTCGAAACAAGAATTGGATGCCGCCAAGGGAGTGTGTGTGTCTGTCTACCGCATTGACAGTCTGGCAAATGGCCGCCACCGATTTAAGATTAACAAGAACGCAGAACAGCATGCACTTACTGGTATCTGCATCATGCACCCCAAGCTCAACATCGTGATTGTAGAGGGGGGCGCTCACTCTATCAACGCTTATAAAAAGCTGATGTTAAACCGCATTGACTGGACTGAAAATTCAGGTGCCAACTCCGTGCGAGAAGGTAACCGTGAAGCGCTAACTTCTTGGCTGGCTGCAGAGGATGAGAAGGGAGAACTCAAAGACTTGAGTCTAAATACCTGTACATTAATCTGGGAAGGGGAGGAAAAAAACCGAGCGTTTAGGAAATGGGTCGGAGCTCGAGTATGCGAGACTGATGGCGCAGCAAAGGATCAGCTAGCAAGGGCAAAGATGGAGAATTTTTGGGCTCTGGCAAAGAGTATAAAACCTAACACTACCTAGCGAGTTTTGTGGAAACCCAGTGCTTGCAGTTGTACCATATACCTATTCATAATACCCGAGGTGTACAAATGAGTAGAAATGAGTACTTATCCATTGTGTACTTCTATGTTAATGACCAGCCAGAATTGATCGCTTATAGATTTTGTCAATATTCATTATAGGTATCCGCTAATAGATGACTCTAAAAAATAACAGGCCCGTCAGTAACCCGTACGCCGACAAACCGAATTAGGTACCTGTACATGTGGCCTCGCGCAAGAGAAAGATCCCGCCATTCAGAACCATACAGCAAAGAAAATTATCAGAAAGATTAAAAAAGAAAAACTGGTAAAAGGCAAAAAGGGGAATATTTATATCGAACGATTGGGGGTGGTGAGTGAAAATGGTGAAGATATTCGAACCCTTAATTCAGAGGCCATATATTCAACCCATGGCGGGTTGAGTTAAAAAGGAGTGACCTGTGCCTTCAGAGAACGCCAATAACAACGTAGTTAGATGGATATATCAAGGCAGATCTTTAGAGTCAATTTGTAAATTATACGCTTAACATCTCAGAATTGCCAATCAAGTGGCATAAAACCCATAGTTAGGCATATATGGGTCAAGGAAATGTTCGTCGAGATTGAACCCATATGCGCCCACCATGTCGGATATTAACATATTCGAAGGTGTGAAGCTAGTACTACTCTCCGTCCCACTGTCCATAATCGGGTTGGCCATGTTAGTACTATCAGGAGAGGTGTTTGCTGCAGACCGGTTCCATGCCTTGAATCGTTCAAGCATTTTGCCAAGTCCTCTCGAAATATGGCGAGTGAGGTGCTTTTCTCCGGCACTTGCGCGTGTAATCAAATCGATAATTCTTTCCACCAAATGCTGTACCTGGCCAGCATCCACATTAAGATACCCTGTATTCCAGATAACAGCAACTTTGAGCAAGAAGACAGCCGAGAACGTAATCATGGTGTGTGTGAAAATTGGCACACCCACGACTGCGTCACGTAAATCCACCTCCTCCAGAACAAGGTTGAGGGTAGCCATGGCCGAAGATATGGCTACATTTGCGGCTTCCTTGCGCTCCGGTGAAAACTGCATATTTGGCGAAATGGCACGAAGTGCCAGGGAGTTGAGCTGGAATCTAGCAAAATGATAGTGCAGAACAACGCCCTTCGAAGGATACGTTCGGACATACGGGTTATCAACTATAAAACAATTAGTTCAGTCTAACGGCCTTGGTCCGATAATGCAGATACGATATGGTTTGGAACGTACGAGACCGGGGCTGCCACAGCATTCTCCATTGCTCAATAGCCCTGTTAAAAGACCGCAGTTGCCCAAAGTCAGATTCGGTCAATGCTTGCTCGGTATCTGACCCATATATCCGATACGCTTCCGTCAGAATGACGAACAATGCTACTTGAGCAATAAGTCGAACGTCTCCCGGAACAGCAGATGGAGATTGTAGAAAAGTTTCGTAATTTTTAATAGCAGCGTCTTCATGGATTGAAGGGGGCCTTCCGTAAGCAATACTGAAATGATGTTCACAAACATAGATCAAGTACCAGAGCTTAGCACGCTCAAACTGATCAGTCTGCCCCCTGGTCATCTTCAAGAAACTGTGATGTAAGTTAATCTCAGTTGCTATCCGTACGGCTTGTCCGGAGAGCTTCCAACTAAGGTCTGGCAGCCAGAATGCACCAATGCATCTAGCACGAATGTCATCCAGTGTGTGATAGCGTGACAAGGTGGCCGCTCCAATCAATGAGACAAACTCATTGTAGCATTTGTTAAGGGTATCTGTCCGGTTGGGAATATGAAGTGCAGACACCGTTAAAATAGCCGCCGATAGGAGGGATGAGGACCTCCTCACAGAGGATAGGTCTGAATGTAACAGGATTATTCCACCCCAGAGAAGCTGATTCAAGGTACGGCGAAAGTAAGCAAAAAGTTCCTCCGCCTCGTGAAGTGAGATGCAGCCTCTCGAAATGAAATCCTCCTCCATCAATGTCGACTTCGGTTTCCCAACTTGGTTACTTCTTAAATTACGGAGCTTTGTGACTTCATATAGAGTCCCCATGGGAGCAGGTACCAGATCAGGCTCTTCCGGCATTGGTTCCTGGGAATTCTCTCTAGTCATGTCCAGTGACTTGGTAGCATTCATATCATTAACACGAACTTCGCCGGACGCATGGTTTGGAGTAGAGCTTAGGTCGGAAGGCGCTCCAGGCGAGTGAGTCAAGTCAAAGGCTGAGAGCGAAGGGAACTTGTTCTCGCGGAGAAGATAGGACACAGCAGCCTCGAGGCGCTGCATTCTATTGGTGGCTTGAGCCTTCCAGCTATAACGAGAGAAAGGGACGCATGTCAGTCAAGTTTCTTTGCGAAAAGCCCAATAATAAAAGGAATAACACTGGCTGCAACCCACTTAAAATCGTCATCAACGAATCTCTGAGAGAAGTCATTGGCCACGCATTTGGCACCACTTTTAAGGCACTTGGTGCAGCTGGTTTCCCCAGGCTTCACCTCGCACTTAATCTTATGCCGCTTGCATTCTGCACCTGTAAGAAGACTTAGTATCGAAGATATCGAGGATACAGGTTCATGGCACAGGTAAACTAACATGCGCGAGCTTTTGATATCTTGGGCGCAACAATTGTGTGAGTCGACTCTTCTCCGTTGATCCTTGGAGGGCTAACCGCCTCGTGGGACCGCTTCATCCCTGTCGGTTGTGGAAGACTCGAGAATGAGGGCGACACCAGGGCGTGAGTCGCATGAAATCCATGTAATCGCGAGGGCCAGTCAGGCTGGAAACGGCGTATTGTGTCTCTTTAGGCACATCGGGTGCTGCTTAGATACCTTAGCGACTTCTGCTCCCTTGCGCCAGGAGAACGAGCAGGGAGGCAAACTCTTGCTCCACCCCCACAGCTCGTGCAGCGTCGTAGTTACATAGCTAGTTTTTCCGCCCCGATCTCGTCGCTCATGCTTCAAAAGCCCTAGAGCATCGTCTCAACGGCCGGCGCATCGCTGGCTGGTCCTGGACGAGCGTCCTGTCTGTCTCCTGGAGCGCCTGCAGAGGCTCAGCAAAGCGACGTCGTCCTGCATGCCGAATCGGGAAATTGGTCATGTGACCCCGCGTTTTGTTCGCGTTCGAAAAGGCTGGCGGCGTAGGGAACAAACAACACAGCGAGAACTAGCACCGCTTGATATTCACATCTACTACGATACAACTAATAGATGGCCGTTGAGGAGGGGAATGGACGATGGATATTGATGCCGACGAGATGGCAGACGGGGCCTGCGCGAACCCCTTGCTGCTGGGCTGGCTCAAGCAGTGGTACGACGAAGCCTTGGACAAGAACATGAAGGGAGCATCCGCAGTGTATGTAGTTATGGCTGTATAAACCTGCGTTCTGATGGCGTTTCCACATCTAATACCCTTTGAAATAGGTATAAAAAGGCCTATAACTCCATGAAGGCATGTCCGTTAGAATTCAGTCACCCGTCAGAGGCGCAGCAGCTGAGTGGAGTTGGACCTAAAATGTGTGAGCGCTTGACTGCAAAGCTCAAGGAATACTGTGAGAAGCATGGGCTCCCCATGCCAGAACGACAACAACCACGGCAACAGGGTGAGTTGTAGGTACTCTGACTGTATTGCACACAAATAACACTAACAACATACTATGCAGTCAAGAAACGGCCATCTGCAGACCATTTGAGGCAGGAGGAAGGCCAGGCGCCGAAGCGACCCAAGAAAACAAAGCCATATGTGCCAACGCTGCGTTCGGGGCCTTATGCACTCCTCTTGGGGCTTGCCACCGTGGACAAGAGTTCGTCGGTAGGCTTGACCAAAGACCAGCTTATAGAAGTTGCACAACCACATGCCGATGCCTCCTTTACTGCACCCCCAGACCCCAGCAAGTTTCACACTGCTTGGGATTCAATGAAGACTCTCATTAAAAAGGACCTTGTCTATGAACGCGGTAGACCACTGAAGAGATACCTACTTACAGACGAAGGGTGGGAAATTGCGACGCAGATACAGAAGACGGTTAGGTCAAATTCACAGATCCTTCCGGATACCAGGACTACCATGGTTAGTAGCTGCGCCTGTCTCATAAGATAAACGTCACAGTTAACACTTTCCAGGATAACTTCATAAATTCCGGGGATATACAATCATCTCGACTGCTGAATTCTACAGATGAACCAATTTCAATCGATGTTCCGCCATTGTCGCGAGAAATTGTGCATGGATCTAGATTTACTCTTCCCCCAGGCAGCTTTACCATCGAGATGGTGCTTGATTACCGGGAAATACGCTCCAGGCAAGATCGAGATTATATCTCAAACGAATTAGCCAAGCGAGGTGTATCGCCCATAGTCCGGCCCCTGGAAGTTGGGGACATTCAATGGGTTGCAAAATGCAAAGATCCTAATTTTCTTGCACAATATGGTGAAGCAGGCGACGAAGTTGCTCTAGACTGGATTGTTGAAAGAAAGCGGCTATCTGACTTACTCAGCAGTATAAAGGATGGTCGCTTCTACGAACAAAAATTCCGGCTTCGCCGTTCCGGCATCAAGAATGTCATCTACCTTGTGGAAATTATGACGCTTACGAGCGCAAATCCAGTAATTGCAAATCGTGATATGTCTGCTATTGCATCTGCCATAGCCTCGACACAGGTAGTCAACGGCTATTTCGTCAAGCAAACGAATAGTGTTGATGAGTCGATTCGATATCTCGCCAAAATGACGCAGCTGCTTCGTGAGATGTATACTGGGTCAGACGCTAACACTCCAGTGAGGCGTATAGAAGTTACGCCAACATCCTGTATAGAGTCACAAAACGAATATCTATTACATCTCGAACGACTACGTGCTGAGGAACAGAAAAGACTAGACACATCGCCGACATCAAACGTCTTGGAAACTACCTATACCTTGACATATAACACATTCTCAGCTCTATCATCTAAATCTGATATGCTTACTTTACGTGATATCTTCTTAAAGATGCTTATGTGTACACGAGGGGTCACAGGAGATAAAGCTCTCGAAATCCAGAGGCGATGGAGTACTCCCCGTGAATTCGTCAAAGCCTTTGAACGGGTTGGGCCCCGAGGGCCGGATGGGAAACCTTCCCAAGCCCAGGATGATCTAGTCGCCTCTGCCTTAGGCGGTCTGGTAGGGCGAAAGAAGATTGGTAAGACATTAAGCAAGAAGATTGCAGAGATTTGGGCTCCCTGAACCTCTATTGTCAATTATGGTATGGTTGCATTTGATACCCCGTTTTGCATGTCAGGTTGGTAATATGTTTTAGACTTTTCATTTATTTGTCCCTATGTACCCTAGGTGTGTCTCAGGGAAGCTTTTTTCTTACCAACTTCAATCGGCCTAAATTTGCAAATCCTAGTTCCATTTCTACTCATAAGATACTTCATGGTAAATCTTTCAATATACCTATTGTATATTGTAGTTGACTCTGTGTTCACATCTCTAACTTTGCATTTTATATTAGACGTTAAAAATGGAACTAATTAAACAACTCAGAAATCCTCCAATATTCCGAGTAGCTTGCAGCTGCGCCCCAGCACCGATTGGATGTTCTATCGCCTTACTCTCCTAAACAATCGACTTATTCCGGCTGTAAATTCCACTCTGAGAGCTAAGCTGCTACAAACAACTGACACGCTGCTAAGAGCCATGGCAAGGGCAGCCCAAGCTGGATCTAGTCTCCAATGGTTGTTTATAACAATTCCATCACGCACTGTATGTCCACTGACAATGGGATAAAAGACTCCAGCGGCAACCGGGATAAGGGAGACATTATATATTGCTGCCCAGAGGAAATTCCACCTTACACGGTTAAAAACACGGCGACTCAGCTTGCAGAGATCAAGAATAGTGTTTAGGTCTGAGTTGAGAAGAATGAATCCTGCAGTGTTCACAGCAACGTCAGAGCCCGATGCCATGGCAATGCTAACGTCTGCAGCCGCGAGAGCAGGGGAATCGTTGGTACCATCACCAACAAAAGCAACAATGTTTCTCCTGGTTTTGGCCTTCGATTTTGTACAGAGTTGGGCCTTGATTCCTAATTCATTGTTCTGCACCTTTTTAATATATTCTGCTTTTTGAGATGGGAGGACATTTGCTATGACATTTGACCTAGGGACCCCAAGCACTGAAGCTACAGCATGAGCTGTTACAGCATTGTCCCCTGTGCACATATGGATATCGATATTCCTGGCCTGGAGCTGGGACACTACCTGTGCAGCTTCATGGCGGAGGGGATCCGAGGTTGCAAATATAATGGCTGGAGCAAACCTTGCTGTTCCATTTGCTTTGCGTATAGAAAGAACTGCAGATGATTTGCCGGCAGAATGATATCGAGACAGTATGTTAGGTAAGAAATATAAGTCTGGATCTTCTCCGCATAAAAGGTCGACTAGACGCTGATTGCCAATCGATGCTTCGTACTCAAGTGCTTGATCATTGCCATCCAGGCGGACTGTGAAGGAACCTTTCATTCCATGGCCGGGTATCTCTTCAACGGAGGTTTGTTTAACCGTAACAGCCGTTTTGTCAGAACAAAATTCGACTATGGCCCTAGCAATGGGATGAGTACTGCTTTCTTCTAGCGCCTTGCCTAGTGCCCATGCAATTTGGAGATCATTCTCATCGGTAATGAGTACTTCATGGTCAGACACCTTAAGATCACCCCCCTCGGTGAGTGTCCCGGTCTTGTCAAAAACGATGGAATCCAATCGACTTGCTTCCTGGAATGCCTCTCCCCCGCCTCTCACAAGGATACCTCGTTTTGCAGCCAATCCCCCGCCAACGAAAAGGGCCGTTGGAGCAGCAAGGGCAAGGCCACATGGGCATGCAACAACAAAGACAGCAATCGCAAACTGCAAACTCCAAAAAGGCCAACCTCCTTGTTCTGAATCTAGATAGTCAGGGGGAAGAACTCCGGATTGTCCCAAACTAAGCCAAACTATGAATGTTAATATAGCAATCAAAGTAATCATAGGTACGAAGTATCCGGTTATAGCATCAGCAATACGTTCCACTGGTGCCCTTTTTGCCTGACCTTCCCGTACCACTGCCACTATTTGGTCAAGCATGGATGTGCTTCCTAGATCAGTGATCTCAATTGATACTGGTCGTCCAACATTGACTGAGCCGGAGAAAACCTTGTCTCCTTTGGATTTTGTAGCTGGCATCGATTCTCCAGTGAGAGAACTTTCATCGAACTTGTAGGAGTTGTCCCGGTTATATTTCCATCAGCAGGAGGAGATCCTCCATGTGGAATCACAACAATGTCACCAATGTCTAGCAGATCAACAGGAACACGTTGAATTGAGGTGTTGTTCGGGTCAGGTTGGCCAGATAAAACGTGGTCAAGAACCAGGATGGCATCAGAGGGTCGAAGTTTGCCTAGCATGGCGACTGCATCACCGGTCTTTGCTTTACTGTATGCCTCAAGAGCAAGACCAACAAGAATAAAGAGGGTTAGAAAAACGACTGTGTCGAAGTAGGTTGCTATTTCTCCTGGCTCGCGCCCCTTGTCAGGTATACGGGATTTCAAAATAAGGACAGCTAAGGAGGCGAAATATGCAACCATTGCCCCAGCAGAAATGAGCATGTTCATGCTACCAAATCTGTAGAATCGTCTGAGTATAGGCACACGGCTCCCTGGTCTCCATAAAGCGCGAATCTCTTTGAAAGCACGAGCATGGAAGACATCAGTACCAAAAAACATGACGGGAGTGGTGAGGATGAAAAGAGCCCATTCTGCGCGAGAAACGGATCCAATCCACATAGGTTCCTCGAGATATCTTCGAATACTGTTTGACTTCGGAACTATTGACATCCATAATATACCAATGAGGAATTCGGGAATACCAACAATGAACGTGAACAGAAGACGAAGGAGAAGCCGTTTCTGTTCGTGCATTTGCATAGCTCGAGAGCGGTCCTCGATGGTAGGTGGGTGGTAAAGACTCGCCGTGAAGACTTCATTCGCACCATCAATAGTAGCAATGATATTTCGTATGGTAAGAGTTGGAGAGTTTGGGGTATATGAAAGAGTGAGAATTGGCTCTTCCAAGGTAAGTTCCTCGATAATTGTCACTGCTGCGTCCGGAATTCCTCTGAGGGCACCAAGAATCTTTTGAGGGCAATGGGGACAAAACATGCCCTCGACTTTGATCTGGACAGTCCTCCTTTTCACTTCCTCATTGGCAATGGAAGAGTTATTGCCTATGGGCTTGCAATCCACAATGGCAGCTTCAAACCCCAAGTCATCAATTCTGGAGATGATATCCTCCAGGTTCTCCTTCCCCTGGAATTCTATCTTCCCTGAGTTTCCCAGGAGATGTATAGTAGCGTTGGTAATGTAAGGGCAGGCGTCCAGTGCCCTGGTAACAGACCCAACACAGGAGCTACATGTCATACCCTTGATGCTCACATCTGCGACATAAGCATCCTCGAGACGGCTCTTTTTAAGATACACCTTCTCTACCGAGGCCTCGAAACCGATATCTTTGACCTGGGTTGCGATTTTCTCAATATTTTCCTTTGGGCCGCGGAATGCTACTTCAGCACTATTTGTAAGGAGGCTAACGGTAGCCGAAACAACGTGGCTGGAAGAGTTAATTTCGCTTGTGACCGCATTGGCACAAGAAGCGCATGACATTCCACCAATACTCAGCTGAGCCTCGAATATCTCGTCGCCAGTGCTCGGTGGGGGTTTGGCCACATCTTTTGTGGATGGCGGGACTGCCGGGGTGACTGCTGATCGAGGTATAGGACTCGATAACTGCGGGCTTATTCGTCTCAGTGTCTCTACTGCAGAAACAACGCCAGATTGGGTTGGAGGGGGGACTTCTAGTTGGTCTCCCTTATGACTCTGATTGGACCCAGCACCAAATTCCTCTCTGCAGACCAAGCAGTTTTCGATATGATGCGTCTTTCGAGTATCGGGAGAAACAGGCCGTAGCCTCCCTAGTACCTTTCGGGACTGAGGAGAGTTGAGGATACCAGACTCCAACCATGTGCTGCCTACTGACGAGGAAGTGTCCAGATCCCCGACTTTGACACCAGACTCATTGTAGGTATCAGCGTGGTATACTTCAAACGCAGCATCCGAGAGAGCCTTGACTAGATCCGAGGTATTTGTTTCGGAACCATGAAGGACTGTAACTTCGTGCGCGAGAATGGTGATCTCGACGGTTTTGATGTCAGGGAGACCATGTAGGACTTCCTTTGCGTAGGCCACGCAGGAGGCACAGTGTATATTATTGACAAGCAGGGTGGTCTTGAGGTCCTCTGAGGGTATATTTATCCTGGGAATAGGCAGCTTTGGAGAGCCAGAGCGGCAGCATGAGGATGTAGTCTTGTTGGCGTCTGCCATCATGATAGAGGGTTCAGTGGTAGTGGCAGCTGCGACCAGACCAGAGGGTGAAGACAAGCAGAGTGACAGTTCCTGATGGAGATGATATATCAAGGTATTCTGTCGTTCGACTGAACCTGGGATGGCAAAATGGTGGTGTCACCAGCCGATATATAGCGAGCTAATCGGCGCCAGTCAGAGTGGAAGGGAGGAGAAGATGTTCGAAGCAGGAAAATTCCCAGCTTGACACCGAGCGGTTTTCGCAGTATTTAACCCCATTTCGACAGCTGGTTTGAAATCAACATTCTTCTTTGCCATAGTGATCTCATCACCTCCTGCTAGCCAGTCAGCTAGCTAAACGAGACACACTCGAGAATTACGGAGAAAGCCATGAGGCGACGGGATACGATGCAGATATTTGCCGGATGCACAAATCGCGCGGTGTTGAATGGAGCGGGTGAAGGGCCGAGGGTTTGGCGCAGCAAACGGCATCCATCGTGGACCCAATGGAGCCCCAGAGAAGCCATTTAGAAGACGCGAGAGAGGACTGCAGGACCGGGATGTCGCTTCTGACTCGCATATGGTCCAGGAAGACGACGGTGTTGATGATTTATCGAAACGATCCAAGCGGTTGGAGCAAGACGCCAGGTCTCGCAGATGTACCTTTTGGCGTGAGAACTACGCAGAATGATACAAGGAAAGGACTTTTCAGCCGCGATTCTAATTATTCATCTGGCCTTTTGCATTCGCTGGCTGGCAGGGGTGCCTTTGACGTCAGGCCAGAGATGGGATACGAGCTTGTCTACAGACGAAGAACAACACATCATACGGCCTCTATCCTGCAAGCTGCACCCAGTGCGCCGTCCGAGATGCTAGTTAACTACTGAACACGGCCATACCAAGGACGAAGGATTGGGTCTTCTGCATAGGAATTGAGCTATTGTCGACCATCTCCATGATCCGGCCTAAGTGGTTGGTTCACGACTGTATATATACGGTGATACCAGTCCACCAGCAGGGTAGAGACCAGCTATTGTTGCCCATTGTTCGTGTGCTTGATGCACTTCCATGCTATTATTCATACTTCCGGGGAATCAGGGTAGACTGTTACTGCTGCATCGTCATCACTCGCGTCGACGGCTTCATTCAGTGGACAAATCATACATTCTCTCGATGCGATGACACCCTCGATCCTGGCAGTCAATGACCTACACTTTGGCTCTGCCACGCAAGGCCGGTCCCGCTGCCTGTTATCTCTGGCCTATTCGGTGTCTTCTTCATCCTCGGGATATGAAAGAACGAGTTCATCACGGCACGGCTACTGCTGTTATCCCACAAGCCAGCCAGTAGTTTCTGTTCCCCTTGAGCATATCCAATTGGTCTCCAGGACCCCGTACATGTGTCCCATTCCATCTTGAACATGCCTTAGAGGGAGCGGACGACATCTTATGGATGTCCCTTCGCTGTCCAATTTCTTGGCACTAGGATGGCTTCGGACTTCCTAGCATTCATTTAATATAAGTGTGTCGTCTTCCGGTGGCCTGCATCCAGGTGGCCTTGCTGGCATCGAGTCCGGACCCCTTAGTTATCCCTTTCTCTGCAGGTCTGACAGCATAGCCGGCCCTGGAGAGGAGGTATGTAACACCACCGCTATCCAGGAATTGTGTTCTTGGGGTCATCCGACCTGATTACCCTTGTGACATGTTGGTTTTGAAACTTCCCTGCTGAGCTTCTCCCTCAGGACCCAGTTGTACGGAGTACAGAGCAGATGTTGCCAGAGTGCAGAGTAGCTCGTCCACGCTGCCTGGCCGTGGCATCCAGAGAGCCTCCCCGTCGCTTTCAGTTACGCTGAACTAGTTAGTTAGTTGACGTCTCGCCCTGCAGGACAGCGGCACTATATCTGCAACACCAACACCCAGGCCGCCCCTAGTAATTCTCCTTCCATCCTCCAAAACTCCAAAAATAAAGCCGCTCTCTGTTGGACTGATAGCATCCCAACAATCACCACCGCCAGTCTCGAGAGATCAAACCAAGGAGGGAAAAAATAAAATTAAAAAAAAAAAAAAAAGGACTAAAACTGTCGCGGAATCGAACTTGGGTGGCCATGACTTCCCAATCAGGCTTAGCGCCGCCGCCTTTCCTCCGCCACCAAAAGGCGCAAAAAACGAGCATCACGTGACTGACTGACTCAAGCGGCTGCACCACAAGGAGCGAGGCGGGCGGGCGACGGCGAGGCGAGAGACGCTGCGCCGGCCTTGCGCATTTCTGACGACATCGACTTGGGAAGACCGACGTTGACAGCTTGATATAGAGTTGGCACCGGACGGGGGATTTCGATCCTGGGACCTGGGATTTACGGCGCATTTAGAGACCCTGCTGCGAGACCTCACTCCCCTGCTAACTACCTGCCAGTGGGGAAATTCTTCCTCTCCGTGAGTCCAACACAAAAAAGATACCTCTTGTTCCTGGCTGTCATCGCTGTCAGAGCATGAACTGATATATTCTCTGGGCAGCCAAAATCAAACTATAGAACTCCTACGAAGAAGCGGGCTTGTACAAATATAACCTTCATCCATTACCAGGCCCTCATGGTTGGTGTCAAGCCAACTCCCCGTCTCCCTCCGCCAGGGAAGGCCGGGATTCGACGGCCGCCAGTCGAGCGTCTAGCAAGCCTGAAAAGGCCCAATCCTACTCCTATCCGACGCCCACAGTCTATCCATGTCCCTCAGAATCATCAGCACCAACACCCGCAACAGCAGACACAAAAGCCAAATACGACCGTACCCCCTAAAACATCAAAATGTCCGAACCCAAGTTGTCCTGATCCCAACATAGTAGAGGACGATGGACAAAAGGTCTGTGCCGGGTGTGGTACTGTTATCAGCGAGTCCAATATCGTCTCAGAAGTTACATTCGGCGAAGCTTCGTCAGGAGCTGCTATCGTTCAAGGAACCTTTGTCGGTGCAGACCAGAGTCATGGACGCAGCTTTGGACCTGGATTCCAGCGTGGTGGTGGCATAGAGAGTAGAGAGATAACCGAGCAGAACGGTAAGCTGTCTCCCTCTAGGCATATGTGCGAATGGCTTGAGGAATCTAACATGGTATAGGAAATCGATATATTGCGCAGCTCTCCCGGGCTTTGAACATCCCGGAAAGTGCCTCAAAAGCCGGGGGGCAAGTATTCAAGCTTGCGGTAGGGCTTAACTTTATCCAAGGACGTCGAACAAAGACCGTAGCTGCGGTAGCTCTTTATATTGCATGTCGGCGTCAAGATGGGAACACAGTCATGTTGATCGACTTTGCAGATGTACTGATGGTAAGCAGAAGTATCCCCACCCCTGGTGTTTCTCCCTTTGCTAACACTGCTGCAGATCAATGTATTCAAACTGGGTAGAGCATACAAAGCACTACTTGATGAGCTGAAGCTGGGGGGGAATCATTTCATCATGAATCCAATCGACCCGGAAAGCTTGATCTACCGATTCTCAAAACAGCTGGAATTTGGTCCTGCCATGATGCAGGTTGCCAGTGAGGCCGTCCGAATCGTTCAGAGAATGAACCGTGACTGGATGATTACTGGTAGACGGCCGGCAGGCATATGCGGTGCTGCCCTCATCCTGGCTGCACGGATGAACAACTTCCGCCGCACTGTCCGTGAGGTAGTTTATGTCGTCAAGGTTACGGAATTAACCATTCACCAACGCCTAAACGAGTTTAAAGCTACAGAAAGCGGTGGTCTGACCGTTGATGAGTTCCGGTCTGTACAGTTAGAAACCTGCCACGACCCACCTTCTTTTTCACACTCCAAGGACAAGAAGGCTGCATTACAGGGCAAGAAAAGGAAAGCTGCTGAAGTGGAAGCCGGAGCTGATGCCGGGCGGGATAAAATATCTCTCAGGGTGGTCCAGACCAAAGCTCCTCGGGTCGACGCAGATGGGTTCGCCATCCCCGAAATTCCCATTGATCCGGCTCTGCTAGCCTCCGATAAGCAGCAAGAGCCGTCCGAAAGCTCCGGTGCAGTTGACGAATATGGTCTTCAAAATGACGGGAAACGTTCCAGGCCCAAGGGCAGTAGAAGCGCCCCTTATCTTGAACCTACGGAATCCGAGCTGGCCTCGGAGTCTGCTCTGGAAGATGAGATGACAGCCCTCTTGTCTTCAAATTCCGACCTTGTCACCAGTACTGCCAAGCCAGTAACGGACACTACCAACACCGAAATAGCTCAACCTAAACCTATTGATGATGGCGATAAAGATGCCGATCATCAAAATACCGAGCCAGATGCAGATACCGACGTCTCTACCACTCCACCTAAAGCACAACAGCCGGTATCATCAGATGTCGAAATTAACCCCTTAGAATTTGAGGACGACCCGGAAGTGCAATTCTGCCTTCTATCTCCAGCTGAAGTAGAAATCAAAGAGCGAATCTGGGTCCATGAAAACAAAGACTACCTTCGTACACAGCAGGCAAAAGCACTCCGAAAAGCTCTTGCCGAAGCTGGTTCAGATCCATCAAGATCTGGCGCCCATCGTCCACGAAAACGCCGCAAGGGCCGTATAGGTGATGTCACATATCTTTCGGGAGAATCAAAGAATGCAGACGGCGAGTCCGTGGCTGGATCACGCGCCTCGACCCCAGCAGAAGCAACGAGGCTCATGCTTGAAAGACGTGGATTCAGCAAGAAGATAAACTACCAGCTTTTTGAGCAGATGTATGGTGACAATGACGAGGCAGCCAATGAAGAAGGCGGAAGTATCATTACTGTCAAGAGGAAAGATAGCGAAAGCGACGCCAGTCGCCGAAGCAGAAGTCGCAGCGTTAGCGTCAGCCGAAGTGTTCGCGGCTCAAGCATCGCATCTGAAGGAGGAGGCATATTTGGTGGACGGGCGTCAGGCAATCGGTCGAAATTACTGAAACCGATCCGAACACCCGCGAAATCCACCATGAAGAAATCTGCTGCTCCAGCAGTGGTGCCAGCTTCGACCAGCCCAAGCAAACCGGCTGTTGAACCTACATCCAAG